GTACCAATGGAAAAGGTACTGAAAAGGAAACAATGAAAAGGTACAATGAAATTGAATGAAAGGTAAAAATTCAAACTTGAAAATTGAATTTCATTTGAATTTTTCAAATTTGAAATTGAATGAAAGGTAAAAATGAAATTGAAGGTACAATTTTCAGTACAAGGTACTAAAAAGGTACAGTGAAAAGAAACTCCATGTAAAATTTACCCCAAAGTGGATAGAGTCTATGAGGTACTGTCTACCTTCTAGAAATTTATTTGCTGAGTCAAAAAATGAATCAATCAATCACCTCATATTTAGCCTCAGAATAATTTTACTGTAGATGAAACCTATGAGTATTCTCTCATAAATATATCCAGACCTCTGGAGATCACCCAGTGCAACCCCTGCCAGGACAGGACACCCAGAGCAGGGCACACAGGAACGTGTCCAGGTGGGTTTGGGATGTCTCCAGGGAGGGAGACTCCACAACACCCCTGGGCAGCCTGTGCCAGGGCTCTGCCACCTGCAATGTAAAGAAGTTCTTGCTCATGTTGAGGTGAAACTGGTTGTGGCTTAGTTCACGGCCATTGCTCCTCATCCTGGCACTGAGCACCACTGAAAAGGGGCTGGCACCATCCTCCTGGCACCTGCCTCTGAGACACTGATCTGCACTGATGGAATCCCCTCTGTCTGCTCTTCTGTGGACTGAACAGGCCCAGCTCCCACAATCTCTCCTCATAAGGGAGATGCTCCAGACCCCTGAGCATCCCTGTGGCGGTTGTTTTCTAGATTCACTATTTGTTTTTCTGTTGTGGCTATGAGAAACACTTTAATTTGTATTGTTATAGCATCTTCTAGGCCTCTCATGGACTGTGGCATTGTGGAGCTACAAACAAGTAACAAAATCTAAGTGCTTCCATACAGGAGCTTTCTTTTCCTAATTTGTCTAAGCAAAGGTCTCCATCCTTTTTGATCCTTTTTCTCCATTGATACCAAGAATGTGAAAAAGGATCAATGTAGTAACTGTAAACATAGAGTTGTAGTTGACTAAATATTCCTCATCCTATTGACATGTTCTCATTTTTCATAGTACTTTGGTAAGTAGTGTCCTATTTTTCTGATAATACATTATTTACTTACCATCCTTGGTAGATCCTGTTCCTCTTGGTAATAGGCACAGTCAAGAGACAGAAATCTAATTGATTCCTAGACAAAGGAATTCAACTATTTTATGGCAAAGTTACCACACTTTTCCTTAAGCCATAGCTTTCACATGTTGTTATCAAGTATTTGTGCTATGTATCACCAAAGCTCCTCTCTCTGTCACCATATGTGCATGGGAATGGATAAGCTGAAGAAATGTAAGTGCTGTTTTACTTGTAAATAGGTATATCCCTGTATTAAAGCTTCAGTTAGCAGTCCCCCAGGCAAGTCACAGGTTGCAGTAGTGTCAATCTAGCACTTTAAACAAGCACTTTCTTCTTTTTTTTTTTACCTAGCTTTTTGACATTTTTCCATTAAGTATACAATAATAGAAAAGATGAGTAGAATTTCTCTACACACCAGGAATAGCAACCTGTCTGCTTAGCACGAAGGGCTCTTTTCTGTGCCGTGACTGAGAGCTTCATACTATGGCAGATTATTTCTTAAGGTTAGATGTTGATAGCCCTTCTCTCTAACTGCCTTGTTCTGTGAGTGAATTCATAAGACAGCCAGGAGGCAATGCAGTGTTCTGTGTGAGCTGGGAGTGCAGCACGAAAGCAAGCTGGAACAGAGCACTTGGTGTTAGGATATGCTTCGTACAGTGTGCATGTCCAGCAAAGACTGTATTGTATGTCCAGCTGGGAGAACCAAGCACTTCCTGAGGCTCTGGAGGCTCCTCAGTTAGACATTTTGTGACCTTGCCCAGTGTCAAAACCTGCTGGAGGGTATCAAGACCCATTAGCCACATGCAGGTGCTGTGTGTGACCAGAATGTTCATCAGTACTAATCACTGCGCACATGCACATATAGAAAGATTTAAATCGAGTGTGCTATTCAGTGCACTGCCCAAATATAAACTCTTTTTAGAAGAAAACTTGTTATTAATAGATCATAGTGGAGCTCTGTTGTCAGCAGAGCTGCCAATACGTCAACAGGCTGTTAGAGCAAGTTTTGGTCTAACAAACTATAATACTATGTAAATATTTGCTTGAAGAAACAAAGTTATAAACAGAAATGCATATATGCACACATGCATATATGGGAACACACGTAACCATGCCAGATGTCTAAAGAGTTGTCCATTACTTAGAACTCTTTTGAAAATTAATACAGCATTCAGTTAACAGATCTTTTAAGGGAGACATTATTGTCAAAGTACTTGGATCTTATTATAGTCAACTGCTGGTTTTTAACCCTTCCTTCTGATATTTGTGTTACTGAAGCACCAAGTCTGTCTTTGGAAGGCCAGAGTTTAAACAGACACCATAAAGGTAGCATAGTGTTACCTAGCAACACCATGTCTAACCCAGTGATGCTTGCTTCTCTCTTTAGACTAAACGCAAAGTCATGTCCCAGCTGCACGTAAAACTTTCAGAGCTTCTGCTAGCTCCCCACTGTTCATGTTTTCATCTTGCTCATATGATGCAAAGCAAACTGCTTCAGTGATTTAATTCTCCTCGGTGCCTCATCCTGTGTGTATATTCACAGTTACTCTTTGGTTTTCATTTAAAACAAATAATTTGTCCTACAGTATGATGCCTCCTCTCAAACATTATTATTCTGGTCATTCAAACAACCTGACAAATGAAAGAGAGGAAAAAATGCCTTGAAAATATATTACCTGTGCTGCAAAATAAGTGCAATTTTTTTATAGCTAAGCTATGTAATGCCAAAGTAACCTTACAGTTAAGTGAAAGGGGGCTGTATTTTTTTTATGTGCAAAAGCCCTGAAATAAAATTTCTAGGACTTGTTTTTAGCTGCTGATAGCTTTCTGCGTAAAATATACTGAATGGTCTGGCAGAGGCCTGGTGTTTTACTCCACAGAGCTTTGGTGGAGATGAAGCTGCTCTGCCAGTGCTAGAAATGATGCAGTATCCGGCACCTGGGTAGGAGCATGCACAGGAACTTTGGTTGCTGTTATGAATAAAGAGCCTTTTCTGTGGGACAGCTGGGGTCTCAGAGGTCTCAGCCCAGCACCTTCATCAGGCCCAACATTCGTTTATTTTTGGTTTTTTTTAAGGAATATGAGAAACTTTCCTAATCATATCAAAAATTAATGTGGCTGTAGACTCCTTAATCACTATAAATGTCTCAGGTAACAATGCAGTGAGGAAAAGTAAAAGCAGATCCTTACATAGTATGATAGAGTCGTGTGAGTACCAGGGATACAAGGCAGCTCACTGCTCCCACACAAACTCTTGAAGCAGTGTGAAAACCAGTACGGGATAGGAGGAGCTTCCCTCCATCACCTGGCTACAGCAAAGGCAGCTGGGAGGAGCAGAAAGACACAAACTCAGAGCTGTGGCTTTCTGAACAGGTTTGAGGAAACACAGAGACAATCTGGTGATCTCTGGAAGGCTGCTCAACCTGTAGCACTGCTAGGAAAGCTGTGCTGGTTTGACAGTTGCTCCTGTTCCCGGTCACCTGCGGAGGCAAAGGGGCACAAAGGCAACTGTCATCTTAGTCTTTCTCCAGTGATGCACATCTGAAGTGGTGCTGCTCTAACAAAACAGATGTATTTGCTTTCAGGATATTTCCTCCTTCACAGCTGCTGCAAAGAGTATCCACACTCTGGTGGGGTGCCCATTAGCTCTTTGGTACTCTTAAAATGCCTGGGGAAGTGGAGTGCTTACTTAATAGTCACCCCTTGGGATTATGGTGGCAAATGCAAAGGACTAACCCAGCCAGTCAGTGAGACCTGAGAGGGCTGCAGCAGGTCCCTGCAGACCTTGATGCCAACAGTGACTCATCACTGCTGGTGCAGGGGAAGATGAGAGAGCATGAAGCTGTCTGAGCTGTTTGGAGATTAATTTTCTGCCCAAAACCATCAGCAGTGAGATTTATTATTCCATGTCCTCTGGTGGTGGTAGAGATGGCAGGATTATCTACTTCCGACCCAAACAAGGGAGTCTTTGAATGACTGGGACCCAACATCTATTGTCAGTAAGGCAACATGAAAAGGTGTGATGAGAGGTCTGCTGCAGGAGTCATAAACCTTCTATCACCTCAGACAAACAGACATGCTTGTGTGGATTGGGTGTTGACGCATTTGATTGTAGATATGAAGGCTGGAAATTGGTTTTCTTACCCTTTTTTTTATAGTGAATAGTCAGTAAGAGACTTAGTTTCAGGAAAAAGCAGTCAAAGTATTCTGTTACCTATGGACATTCTGGTAGAACATATAAGCACCTTAGCTAATGAATATTTTTGATTTTAATTCAGCTCATGCTATACAATGTCATGTGATATCCATAGTCAATTCAGAACAGGCATCTTTTGGGGGATCTCTCTTCAACGTGCCTTTTGGAAAGCATGGAATGTTGTCATGAGTACACTTAGTGTAAAATAAGTAGGTCTTTTTAGATGGCTGCTAAAAATACTTTTATAGCTATTTATTTAAACTGTGTTTAGGGAAGCTCTGGAGAATTCTGCACTGCACAATACAAAAGGCACTCTGAACATTGACAGGCTTGTTGAAGAAGACGTTCTCCCTCACGTACGTGTATCCACACACGTACATTGGGAAAAATAAGAGGCTGTGATCTTCTGTCAGCAGACTGTAATTTCTACCAACGCAAGGTCTTAACCTTTACTGGGTCCCCAGGGTACACGTTAGGTCTGATGGCAGGAGTGCTCCTGCCTTCTGGCTTGAGTCAAACCCCCATTGCTCTGAGGTATTCTATGGCTCTGGGCCAGGCGAGTGCTTGTCCCGCCAACAGAACCAGCTCTTTTGTGTGCACAGTGATGTTGTGACCGGTCTGAGCGGCAGCGTGCGCCGGGACCTTGTCCTCACCTTCTCCATTTCTTCAACCAGATGGGTGCCCCGACCTGTGCAACGGCAATGGGAGGTGCACGCTGGGCCAGAACAGCTGGCAGTGCGTCTGCCAGCCTGGATGGAGGGGGCCCGGCTGCAACGTCGCGATGGAGACGGCCTGCGCGGACAGCAAGGACAACGAGGGAGGTGAGCACAGCCCTGCGGCCCCGGTCCCCACGCAGCGGCGCGTTCCACCGCTGCCCTCGCGAGTCATTTCCTTTCAGAAGGACCTGGGCTGTTGTTGCTGTCAAATGCTGCTCACACCGTCACCGGGGCTGAAGGGCCCTCTGGAGATCACCCAGTGCAACCCCTGCCAGGGCAGGGCACCCAGAGCAGGGCACACAGGAACGTGTCCAGGTGGGTTTGGGGTGTCTCCAGAGAGGGCTCTGCCACCCTCAACGGAATGAAGTTCTTGCTCATGTTCAGGTGAAACTGGTTGTTACATTTCTTTTGAAACAAATGAGACCAAGTGAGCTGTGGCCTTGTGCAGGGACATGGTGACCCGCAGGGACGTGGTGACCTGCAGGGTCATGGTGACCCACAGGGACGTGGTGACCCGCAGGGACATGGTGACCTGCAGGGATGTGATGACCCACAGCACAGGTCAGGAGCTCACAGGCAGGTGCAGTCCCACCCCAACCCACTGAGCCTGGGTGCAGAGCATGGCCCTGGACAGAGCTTTTCCTGTGGCTGTGGGGGCAGGTGAATGGCAAGGCAGCTGCTGGTGTGCACAGGCATCGTGGCTGGCTGGCCCGGACATTTAGCAGTGCTTTTCCTGCTCTGTGCTGGAGGCCAGGGTCACGCTGTCGTGTACACAGCCTGTGTATGTGGCTGTACTTGCTGTCATGTTCATGTGCCAGACTTTGAAGGGCTGAGCGAGGTGAGCTGAGCAGTCACATGAGGTAAGGCTCTGCTTACTGTCAAAAACAGCTGTAGCATATCTCATTTTGCAAAGCTTTCCGTGGTGTATGTTCTGTGGTATTTCCTAAAACTGCAAGGAAATATTTGGCTTATTTGAATGGCTGCTTCAAGAGTAAAATTGTCATTAAGGTTAGTGCTTTAATTCTATGGAAGATTTTAGGGTGTGGAAATTGTTCATAAGTCCCAAACTGAGGAACAGGTATATTTGGGTTTGATCGCATGATAATAACCACATCTGAGTATCACCCGCTAGCTTAACCTGTAACTCCCATTAGTTCCTAGGTTTCACATGTGATCAGTGCTACAGAAATACTTGAAAAGTTCTAGAGCTGATTCAATTTCAGAAAACTGGAACTTGCTTTATCTCTGTGACTGAATTAAGACCAGAATCTAACTTCCAGATTACATTAGTTGCCTTTTAACTCTACAACAAAACCCACTAAACTTGTGTTAATATCCAGTGTAAGAAACTAAAAGCTGAACTGCTCAGGTTTGCAGATTTGACAGGCTTTGAAGATTATGGAGGAAAATTTGAAAATGGATATGTCATCAGATTCTCATCAAAGTAAAGAATGAATATGGGAAACATTATCAGAAGTACTTGTATAAGACATTTGTTTACCTATCCAAGACCATATTCTGCACTTGTGAAACAGGCAAATGGGAAAAAATGACCAGGGGGAGCATTCAGCTCTTCATCCCAATTTCAAATTGCAGAATTCTAAAAGTCTGTCAAAATCAAAGAATACATAGAATAAATATGCCTACAACAGATGTGTAATATTAATCAGCATTAATGTGGAAGGTGCGTGGTTTCTGGTTTGCCCTAATTGCACCTCAAAGAAAACTGTTTGGTCTAGCTGAAGGCTAGAAAGATTGAGGGGAGAACACTTGGGTCGTTGAAGGTTGCTTGCAGGTTGAAGTCATGTTTTTCCAGAGGCTGGAGTGGTTGCTGCTCATTGTTCCATGTCAGAGTGTAGATGGTTTGGTAGTCTATGCCTGTTCCAAGGTCCAAACAACCTCAAAAGTCCATTTGACCCACACGTTTCACATGGGGATTTTATGATAAAGGCAGAAATGAATCCTTTGTTTTCTGACCCTTAGCTCAGGAGTTCAACCCAATGGTCATTACTACTCTCCAACAGCCTCATCCTCATTAAGTTTCTGTAGTCTTTCTGCAGGGGAGATCAGGAGATGTCCAGCACGTGCTCAGCTGCTCTTTTACATACACTTGTAAGCTGTACCTGAAAACATGAACAGACAAATGCTTTATATCAGCCACGCCATGTTGTGTGCACAGCTCAGGTGGCACAGGCTGCATGGCACTGCAGAACTCTGCTGTCTCTCTCATGCCTTGGTGATTTTTGCTGTTTCAGTTTGCTTTATTGTATTTTGAATTTCTGATTTCTTTGAAATGGCATGGGGTTCTTTCCAATATGTGCTGTAAGGACAGAGTCTTTGTCATTCCCATCTGTTTGGCAAATCATCAGTCATAAGAGTGACATCAAAACTCAAAACTGGATATAACATTAATTACTTAATACTTGCTATCTTAGAGTGCAGTTCTGCCTTTGCCTTGCTAGTCTTTACGTGCCTGGTTCACTACATATCTGGCCAGGGACACATCCTGTGACCTATACATTTATCAGTGCTAACACAGGGGAGAGCACAGGAGTGTGCAGGAATGGGGAGGGAGGAAGGAAGGTAGGAAGGAAGGAATATGTACTCTGTGCTTCCAGCTGCACCTTTGTATAATTGTGACTGAGCATATAAAGGAGCAGATAAAATTAAGTTTTCCCGTTAGACAAAGCTGGAAGCTGTACCATGGGAACCAATGTTAAAGATTCAGCTAGTTACCAGAACCCAAAGTTTTATATAAAGTGCAAGATTATTGAAAGTTAAACAAATTTCCTCTCCTCCCAGTCACTCTTTCATTTGCAACTCAACCAAGTTTATTTGCAGCAAAATGTTGAACACGCCTGCTGCTCCATTACCAGCATTGCTCTGCTAACATAAGCAAGTTATGTTAAGTGGAGTAGTAGTGAAGATGCAAGCTGTTCTTTCAAAAGGCAGTAAGGTATCTAAAAATACAGGTTTTGCCTAAATGAGATCCTTATCTGGACAGCTGAACTTCCTTTCTTTCTGTCCCTCTATTCATGTTGTTAAAGTAAGTTGCCTCAGCAAGTCACTTGGATCATTTACTGCCTTCCATTCTTCCCCATGCAGCAACAGATTTAACATATTTTGGAGCATTTTCACTGTTCAGCCATTCTTACTGCAATTGTATCTCACAATCAGATTCAAAGGCCTTGGGCCAAGTCTTCATTTCATGGATGTCAAGAAGAGCATTGCCACTGACTCCAAAGGGATTCCCATTTGTCCTGTTTTGTCTCATTATCTGCCACAATGCGAACTCTATACCATAGTTCAGAAGGAGAAAAATGAAAGATTATACTTAATATTTTTCTTCCATTTTAGATTAATGCCCTTTAGTTGGCTTATTCCTAGAAGAGGCAGATGTGTCCCTGTCTTGCTGAGACATACAAATCTTCATTTTAAATGGGATGTCAATGTGCATTACTCAGATAAATAAAATGGGTTTCCAGAGAAGAGCGTCCAAAGCTGTTCTCTCCTCCTCGGGCTGTTCAAGTAGAACTGTGCATGATCCAAGGTAGCACTGGGAAATTCACTTGTATTTGTCCTTGCCATCCTATGTCAAATCTAGAGATGGGCTTAACTGGGCCTTCATTATGAACCTATTCAGGGTAACTATGGTGTGTAGGGTACTTTGCTGAAAAAGCTTGAAAGTCCCTTATTTATCCATCTGTTGTCTATTTATGTATCTTTAAGGGGGAAGCTGAACTGAAAAGTAAGGGGGTTCTGGCACTGACTCACTTTTAAAATCTTTCGAACTTGGAAAATGTTTCTGTTTTCCAAATCACGTTTGTATTACACAATTTACTCACTGTGGCCACTTCTAAATCTAATCCTTTCCTTAATCAGTCCCTCAGTAATCTAATAGTTATTAAGCATCTTTTGGAGGGATTAGAAATAGCTTTATTTTAAGACCTGTAATTGTGATTACAGTGTATAATCCCCCCAATAGACATGTATAACCCATTTAAATCATTGTGGATTTATTTTAGGAAATTAAGGGATTGGAAATGATATTGTGAGGAATGGGAGAAGGTACATTGCTTTTTAAGTCATTTCTTTTGATATATTCATAAGGAAACCAATATTTATACACATCTTTTTACAATAACTATTTTATAATAAATTGCTTGTTCCTAAATTGAAAAAGGTTTCTGGTATCTCATAACAGCCTGTATAAATTGTGCATTTTTAACTAGATTTCATTTTAGACCTTCCAGTGCCTCCAAGTAAAATGGACAATGGAATGTATAGCAAAAAAATACTTATTTTCTAAAGAACAGTTTCACTAGATGTTGAATGCAGATGATACCAGGAGCTCATGTTTGAGGGGCCTTTGTTCTGAATTTAGTGGGATAATTTGGGACAGCTACTTAAGAACTCTGTCCTCTTCCCAGGCAGCCCTGGCAGGAGCCCATACTGCCCTCTGGGGTTGCTCCTTCTAGGCTTTTCTTTTCCTTCTTTCTCCTTTCTCCCACCTTTTGTATCCATTTAGAATTACTCATGTTTATGATCTTTGTTAGCCAGACAGTAAAAATTAGGTAATCTCAGAGAAAGATGAACAGAAACTAACCCAGGTTTTGCTAAATGGGTTTGTTTCTGATTTGATCAGGATGGAGAGGACAGGTACAGGCAGGGTAAAAAGAAAAAGAAAAATGCTTATATCATGCCACAGATCACATTTCTCCTCAAAATGTAATTATCTGGACTAAAATTGGGTGGTGAAGAGAAAGAAGCTACCCATGGCAGTATAGAATGCTAAACTAAATGGAATGAGGAACTCCTTGTTTGTTATGCAAAGTGGGACATTCTTTTCAAAACACATTTTAATTTATTTCCACTTGGCTTTCCAAAGTGAGCTGTGCCTATCTCCGAAAGGAAATTTTGCCCTGTAGTTTGTTACTATATAGCTGTAACCCCACCAAGAAGTACAGTTGGCAGTAATTCTGTTTGGCACAATACATTAAAGATAATGAATGAGGGAAAGCAGCTCTCTGCTCCAGTATGAATTCCCTTCAATTCAGGAGAAAAACACATTTTTAGAGAAGTTCACCGTCAGGACAGTGCACTCG